TTTTTAATATTTTCCAACTGCTATTACATAAAATTATGGGTACCTATCTTGTATTAAATTTTCAAACTTTTTGACCCAACAAATAACATTTTTTTGGCATATATACATTAAATAAATAAAATAAAATAAAAATTTCTTATATCTGTAAATAACTTTAAAAAGTTGAAACATTTTGAAAAATGTATCATGTATAGAAAATGATGACTATGATACATGAAAACTATTAGTTTTTGTTAACAACAAAATAAGAAAATCGTTGTATATGAGAAAATTAGTGAATATCCTGTTATGCAAATTTGAACTTGGCATTTTAGATTCTGGACAGAGCGATGAATGTATTGATTTTACCATGATGTGTTTTTTTTTATTATTTATTTTTTTTTGTGTGTGTGTCTGTCATCACGTTTTGAAACAATAAAAGTGCTTCGATTTTCGACTTCAGTACCTCGTTCGGCTAGTTCGATCAGAAAGTAAATCTAGTTGGTACTTTGGGGGGTCAAAAGTAAAAAATTCTCAATATTTTTCTAAATAATTGGAACAAACAAACTAAAAATTAAGGTAAGAACGAGAAATTTTACGCTCAATCAGTTTTCGAAAAAATCAATTTTGGTTTTTGATGTACTTAACCGAATGTTTATATAAGTATATTTTATCCATCATGCAATTTTCAAAAAATGTCGACTCAAGTTGAACTATTATAGGCATATGCAATTTTCGATCATAATTAATTTTTTTTTTTAAATTAATATCGATAAAAATTTATTTGTTGCGTAGAAAACCTTTTTTTTCATTTATTCAAATTAATTGTTTCAATACACTTAGCGTATTATTACAATGTAGCTTAAATTAACATAATGAATAATATATTTAATATAAATATTAGCTATTTGCTTATCTAACTATGGTATAAGTGATTTAAGGGGGACGAGGTGGCCGAGTGGTCTACCGCGTCGGCTGTGGCTCAGCCGGACCGGGTTCGATCCTCCTTCATCGGGCGGCATTTTTCTCCGGGCAAGTCACGGTGTGACAAATGACTATATTGATACATTAAATTTTCACCGAATGTTTTTATAAGTATATTCTATCCGCCATGAAATTTTCAAAAATTTTTGACTTAAGTTGAACTATTCATAGGCATTTGAAATATTCGATCATTATTAGTTTCTTTTTAATTAATATTGATAAAAATTTATTTGTTAGGCAGAAAAGCTTGAAAATTTAATACAAGGCTCTTAACATATTGTTAC